GTGTTTTTGATGTCAGGTTAAGAGGAGAGATCATTAACACCAATTCTGATCATTGCCATTGAGGTCATGATTGGTGTAGCTGTAGAGTATTATGCCAATGCATTGTGCTGGCCGTTAATCCTCGGATGGTTAAGCTTCTGTGTGCACAAGATGCACGAGTTTGGGACAAACATTACTTCAGCATTTTGTCTTAGCAGAAAGAATAACATGTAAAATACTAATTATCAACACGCTCTCCTGTCCAGCTCCATTAACTCACCCTCGGAATTAGACCCAAACCTCTTCTCAATTTTCTGAATAATGATACGTATTCTAAACATTCAACATTGAAGATAGAAAAATAGCTAAAAAAGCTCTTTTGAAGAAAAGAAATTGAAATATTTGCCACAGCCCACCCAAAGCATTTTCCCTTTGTTAGCAAAGCAGTTTCTTTGTGTGTCGCTTGCCACAGAAGCTTCTCTCCAATCAGAAAGATCATTATCCAATTTGGGCCAACAGAGATGTGCTTCCTCCCTCTTCCCCACCTCCTCTTTGCCTTCTCCTCCCCCTGGGTCACCCTCTCTTTCTAGCTCATGTTCCTCTTCCTGCAATCAAATCTAGCTTCTCCTCTCAGGAGGTTTCTCCAACATTGTGTGGGTTGCAGGACTTCAAACAAGACCTTTTATTGATTGTGGAAAGTGCTCCCCTGTGCAACATGCCATCTATGCAGCCCTAACCTCTTGTTTTTTTTCTATCCCTCTTTTTCAAACCTCGCACACATTCTCTCCATGCTAATCTCTCTACCTCACGGCCCCTCCTCGTTCCCTTTATCTTTGCTGACGTGATAAAAGACAAGGTCAAAGAAGAGTTTCCATTTTGTGTATTTGCTCACTCAAAGGTCTGTCTGAGAGTTTAGCCTCTCTGCCTCACTGTCTTTTAATGTCCACAGTCCAAGGGGTGTTTACGTGTGTATTCACTCATTAAAGAAATTCCAGATAGCCTCAATCAGATTATCTTCCACAAACAAAAAGATTTGGACATAGATTTTCCGTTATCCTCTTTGCTCATAGGCTGCTATGACTGCTGTAGTAATCCTGCAAAAACAACCTAGATTCATTACTGATGCCACTGCTCTGTGCTCAGGCCTTCACCTCTCCCTCCGCATGTCCTCTCTTTATCCCTGACTGTTGTTTTTTTCCCCTCAGGTAAGCCAACCAACAGGGGTAGCAACAGGCGTACGCAGAACCGTGGGATCGTAGAAGAATGTTGTTTCCGGAGCTGTGACCTCAACCTGCTGGAGCAATACTGTGCCAAACCGCCCAAGTCCACGCGGGACGTGTCGGCCACCACTCTACAGGTCGTGATGCCCGCACTAAAGCAGGTACATTTCAACACCAACAACAACTAGCCGCCAGTATGGGAAACCATGCCATCCTTGTTTATATCTGCCTCATGATCTCCTGAGCCCCCATTCACCTTTGAGCCCAGCCCCTATGTCATTAACACTGGGCACTCGGTGTGAGCCATACAGACAGGTTTTTCTTGTTAAAGGGTCACTTGTAAGCACTTAGCTTCCATTGAAAGTGCTGATCATCGTGGAAAACACCGAGACAATTGCAGCATATTTGCTGCCGGAAAAGACAGCCATACTGGCAGATGTCAATGTGTGTGTGTGTGTGTGTGTGTGTGTGTGAAGGAGTGACACAGACAACGTGTGAGATGACAGACACTGCTGGTCTGTAGCAAAACTTTGTCTTCTGAGTGTGTGGTTATTAGTCAGGGGAACAGTGAGCTCTAACAAATCTGCCAGGTGTCACAATCTGTGTGGTTAAAAAAAAAAGAACCTGAGCTGGCCAGCCGAACTTTTCTGAACTACGTCACAAACATGAAGTAGCCGTAGAGGTTTTTCAGGTCTTTTCAAAAGGCTGAGCTTTGGCTGGTCACTAGACAGAACCGTGGCTGCTTTCCAGGCCTCTTAAAATCCCCTCAGAAGTCTTTGGGATGAGAAGAGAGAGATGTTTTTATGTTTCTGCTATGATTTCTCCAAATCTTGGTTTCAGTGGTGTGTAATCGAGAGCAAGGTAAACAAGAAACCTGCATAATTACTACAGCTGAAAGAGGAAAGTATACGATTTTCAGTCTGAAGCGTGATCGAGAGGCTGTGAGGGAATTAGTTAGGACATGTCCTCAGTTTGTCTGGGCTGGGAGGAAGAGTTGATGGGTACATGCTGCTCCAAGGGCCAGCTGTGTTTAGCCTATTGAATAGGCCTGAAGTGAATGAAGGGGGATAAACACTCTTCAAGTGGTAGGACCAAAACAAGCCATTCACATGGAGCGCTTGCTACTCGCGCATAAATTCAGGCCTCACTGCGGCCCCTCCCACTGTGCCCTAATCTTTTTTGACCTAAGTCTTCCTTGAAAGACTTTGCTGTGTAAGAATATAGATTTGGAGACAGTGTGTTTATTGGTGATAAACACTGTCTCTTACCTTGTGTGAGATATTGCAGTTCAGGAGGTCGTTGGGTGAATGATGACGTGCTCCTCATATGTATATGAGGTCGGTGACCACCCTTCCTTTTGACAGTATGTTAAAGAAGCTGAACTAAGTACTTGTTGACAGCTCCTCTCAATCAAGGAAACCAAAACAAGAACCAGTTGGAGGCGAGGCAAGTCTGTTATGGCGCTTGGAACAAGAGAATGACATTTGATTTCCATTTGACTGGTCCAACAATGACTGAATATTTTCAAGAAACGAGCTAAGCCTTTTGTCCTCTGTAGTGAGTACATGCACAGAATCTTATCAACCCTTAAGAATTCACTCTATCTTTTCCCTTTTCCCTTTACTTTTGTCTGCACGCCACAATAGGAAGTCCCGAGGAAGCAGCATGTGACCGTGAAGGTTTCCAAATACGAGGTGTGGCAGAGGAAGGCGGCTCAGCGGCTCCGGAGGGGTGTCCCCGCCATCCTGAGGGCCAAAAAGTTTCGGAAGCAGGCAGAGAAGATCAAAGCACAGGAGCAGGCAATCTTCCACAGGCCCCTGATCAGCCTGCCCAGCAAACTGCCACCCGTCTTGCTTGCCACGGACAACTATGTCAACCACAAATGAGCCCGCTGCCAGCCCTTTGCACAGAGTTTGGAGGGAGAAAAAAAAAGACTAGGGGATTATAGCTTTGTCTCTGACGTCATTTCTGTGGCAGTCCTCTTTGACCTCCCCTGCCCTGTCCGAGCCCACCAATCCCTCCCCCTGCTCTCATCCACTACTTCTTGACCCTCCGGCCCTATTCTACTGCCCTCACCAAAACCGCCCACCCACCCTTCTCTGGCACACAGACATGCCTTCACATTCTTCCTGTTTGAAGTCTTTCGCTCCCTCTCTTTCAGTCACTGACACAAAAGGCACAAACACAAATGATGAACAAAAAGTTAACAATTCGGCTGATTGCAATTCAGGTGGATCCTTAAGCAAGAAAAAGGAAAGGGAGAAAAGAAGATGAAAGACATCTCTGGTTTGCAAGTGTCAAGAGGACACCGGCGGAATGTTTTTGTCCTTTCGGACGACAACTGAGAGAGAAGAGAAGCTTGCATGAAAGAATCCATTCCACATCATTTTTCCTGAGGCAACAAGAAAATCTCTGTTAGTTCTTTTTCTTATTAGTTTGCACCTCTACCTTTAAAGGGACTTCCACACTGTAAGGAATTATTTTGTAAAATTAGATTCCTGTTCCAGCACCTTTCGATCACAAACAAAAGCAGAAAAGAGTCTGCAAAATTGCACATTGCCACGGATTACGTCAAAGTAAGTAAAAAAAAAAAAAAAAGGCACTATTTTTTTATGAACAATGAACGTGTAGCTTAAAAAATGTCATGGTGCTAGCTTTGGGAATGGACTCAAAGAAGAGGTTGAAAAGCACGTTTATTCTTTGAATGACTATTAAAACTTTCCGTTTTAAGGAAAGTGTGACTCTAAAAAGGAAAACAAAGGATATGGGGGAGCTCCTGGCAGTGGCAACGTCAAGGGGGAAGTGTCACTGAGAAAAGATATGGGCTGTGTTGGCGTCTAGGCTCACAGCGATCGCTAGCGGCTGCTCATCACTCACTTGCCGGCATAAATGGCAAGATGGACAAATATGGGAAACCGTGGACCGCCTAGATTGGGACAGTACTACAGTTCTGGGACAGGCTTCCTGTTTGCCTTTGCTGACTGCTATGACAGGAAGTATCATGGCATGGACAAAGAGCGAGCGGGAAAATGTTGATTATATTTTATTTTGTCTTTCTCTGTTTTCTTTTCATATCAATGTTTTAATGATAAAAACAAGAAAACCCCTTCATTTTTCTGGTACCGTGACATTCCTGTTTTTTCAAGTTAGGTATTTTTTGTTTTCATGTTTTTGCAATGATGTTTTTGACAGTTTTTAAGAAAAGGCACAACATTTTAATTCAAAGGGAAAAAAACAGCAATAATGTCAACTAACAATTTATTTTAAAATGTATATCAGTAGTATTCACATGCTTTTGCCTGAAAACAAATACTTGAATATATATATATATATATATTTATATGTGTGTATATGTATATATGTGTATATATGTATATATGTGGCTATATGTAGATGTGTATATGTGCATCTATATATGTAAGTATGCATATACATACGTTTATATACGTACATATATACATATGTACATATACATATATATGTATATGTATATACATATATAAATATAAACATATATATATATAGATAGATATATAATTAGTTTCCAGGGACGTTGTGTTATTTTCCTTTAGTCTGAGCTGTATCTTGCGTAATGAGCCGCCAAGCTTTTTTGTTTGTTTGTTGAAATACAAATAAGGGCACTGTATAAAGGCATTATTTATTTTGTTATAAAATATATTTGAAAAATTGGTCCAAATAATATACGTAGCACTGATGCTCAACTGACGGATTTATTTTGTATGATCTCTGTTTTCCAATTGGAATTGTAAGGCTTTTGTGTAGATGCTTTGTACCAAAAAATAATGTCTTTTTCCTCTTTTGTTTTCCATAGTTACTTTAAATTAATATTTAAACAGCGGCATTGCCTGGATTACTTCGGCATGTCATGTCACAGAAATAGGCACATCCGGAAACCTATCCGGGTTGTCGGTAAAAAGGACAAGCATCAATAAGTAACTTTATCCATGGAAATATAATTGTTCATCATTGATTGTACTCAAACCCACTACGTTTTAAGCCACTTTAGTATTGATGGTGGGAAGAATGACCTGTTCTTCATTAAATCCTATCTTTATGATCGTGCATGGTGTCCTATGGTATTCTAAGGAGAATCTTGCTCACGTGCCAGTGTCACTGCCACATGTTGGATTAGGCCTTCACGCTGTCAATGTCCCATCAGCTGCAGGCAGGAGTTAGGGCACAGCTAACATTTGACTTGCGTTTCTCTTAGTCCTACCTGAAGGTAACATTGTTGTTAGGACAGAGTCGTTGTCTTTCAGAGAGAGCTTATCATTGCAAAACACATAGCTGTTCTCTCCCGCGGCCCGTCTTTTCTTTGTCTGCGAAAAGACAATGTCCTCGATGTTCCGCAGTGACTGTATGTGTATATGTGTTTTAATTAGAGTGCTCCAATCATCATCAAGTTTTACACCAAATTGAACCATTTCTGAAACATCCAGGAACAAAAACACAACCTTCGCTGTCCAGCTGGAGCACGGTTAGCTCCTGAGTGTAGTAATAATGATAATCATGTATTGATTCTGTTGTGGACTGGCAGCTGAGGTTGTTACTCATACCTGGCCACAATGATACAGCTCTCTGTAACTAACCACTAAAGCCCATGTCAGAAATAAGGTCATTCTGTGCCACACTATACTTTTATTCTTCACTGTTTCATGTTTGACTACATGGGATACAGAAGCAATGTGCAGTCATGTTAAAAAGTCCATCATTAAAAAAAAAATCAAAATCACTCATTTACCAGAGAATTTCTAAATACCAAGACTACATCCTCTCTCTAACTATATTCTACTTCAGTTGTGCAACAAAGCAGGCAGTGCAATTATTATCATTATTATTATTGTTATTAATATTATTATTATATTTTCTATTTTATTCAATTGTTTTCCTGCTAGGACTGCATTCATACAATATGGTAATGTTCAAACAGGCTCCTCTAGTGTGCTACTCCTATGAATGGCGTGAAAGACAACCACTTCTTTTCGCTTGAATATGAAGAGATAAATTGTCGGGCAATGGCAACTTTTTTCTGTGTCAGTAGCTCACTCAGCCTGTGTGTATTTTATTGATTAAACCTCTGCACGTTAGAACGTCCGAAATGCACAATTCATGTACTTACATTTTTAATATCAATAAAAAAACATTTTATCAAACATGAAGTGTCCTAAAGACTTGCTGCTTTGTTTGGTATTCCCACTGCTCCTGGATGTATGTCCACACACACACTGTATGTACCCTGTAAATGATTTATTACATCTTAAGGCCTGGCAAAGAATCTCCAGCTGCTTTTAGCATCCTCTCTCTTCCTCTCACCCTCCCTGTTCTTCCTCCTTCCCCTCTATTTTTGCTCCGTATCTCCTCCACTTCTGTCTGTCTGTCTCCGTCTGTTTTTCTCCCCTGCAACATGATTGTGCAAAGTGTGCCATAGTGGAAATCAGCACTCACAGAGTGGCAAGCGGCTTGGCCACAAAACTCCTCAGCCTTTCCTTTACTGCATGCCACACTAAACCTGAGCTGCCCTAAATGCCTCTGACACGCCCTTCTGTTCATCCATCCTACCAGCCTTCGGTGGCTTGCTAACTACTGGAGCAAGCTTCACTTCGGTGGCTAAGTTTAGCATCCAACATGTCTCAAATTATCACATGCATATTTTGCAAATGACATGACCTTTCATTGTTAACATGCATACATATACCCACCCATGGGCCGTCTGTTACAGGGCAGACTTAGAGTACAGTATCTTCCCAGAATAGGAACTGTTTTTGACACTGAGGTTATGGAGCTGTGAGTCAAAGATTGTGGAGTCTAGAACTGAGACGAGGGAAGAAGAAAATCTCTTTTCCTTTGGCAACCGTGTAGAGTGATGAGATGTCCACATGTTGTAAAGAGGTTTATGTATTTTTGTTTTGTTTTATAAGTCCCAGTGCCCTAATATAGAGGTGACCCCCGAAAGAAAGAAAAACACCCGTTTACAAAAATAGTTTACTTTTGTAAGCTGTATAGCTAGAGGCTCTGCAAGTTCACGTACATGTGTGCACATACTGAACATGCTTGCAAACACATGCAGAGATACACATACTAGGCACCATCCCTCAACTCTCTCTTTCTTCATGAATGCACTGTGAGTTGAAGCGCTCCTTTCACCTCGATGTAACACTTTATTATCACATTTCGACAACCACACTTTTGTTCATTTGCACGCATGCACGTGCATGTATATGTGTGCGTGAGTGTGTGTGTGTGTGTGTGTGGATGGGAGGAGGGGAAGGGGCCGTATGTGTGTCTGCCGTGGGACTAAGTCTGTTCCCTGCAGGTGTTTATATATGGTGCAAGTCTCTAGAGCCATGGGATGAGATCAGGGTCTCTGTGGTCCTCGGGGTTGGCCACGTCACCGCTGTGCCATGCAGAGCAGAGTATCGCATCATCATATCAAACAAAACAAGATAAATTGGTATGTTGTGAGCCAAGGTAAAGGTTCTTGATTTAATGACATTGTATTTTGATTGATTGACTGAGAACATTAAACAAATATTTTTATCACATTATTTTTTAGCCTTAACTGTAAGCTTGAAAAAAAAAAGAAAGAAGCAGAAGAAGCTTTTTTTTTTTTTACAAACTGTGCTCCCTCCATGAAGACTGGCACTCCTTGGCAGGTTTTTCAAGCAAACTTAGTGCAGATAAAGGGAAGGAAATCACTTTCACACACACTTTCATATTGTGCAGTAGTGATTTTTACTTATCAAAGCTGAAACACCTGAAAACAGTTTTCAGCTGATCTGTTTGGACACGTACTTAAAATGACGTCAAAAGCCATTTTACGTCTGCTTCTTCATCACCCTCAGCATTTATTCCAAATATTTCAATACTAGAAAGAGCTCAGACACACCACTTCATCCTAATCTGGTGGAGCCAAATAAACCAGAAACCCAAAAGGCATGCATCCATCCCCATCAGAGAGGCCTCCTGAACTGTGGAGCAGAGTGTAGATGTGGGTGGCACAACTCTCCCAGGCCTGACATTGGAAACTGCCAAAGAGCACACTAGTGTTAGTTGTGGTTGGCAGGATGCACGGGATGCATGTAAGGCCTGGCCAACTATTGAGGCACAGGGTTTGGCAGGCCTAGACCATCGCAGCCCAGCGTGGCCACACAGGCCAATTAAGACAGGACTTCTCCTCTTCTTTCTTCTTCTCCTCCCCTCCTCTGTCTCTCTCTCATCTCTCCCTCTCTCTTTATCTCTCACTTTCTCTCTTGTACTTCCTCTCCCTTTCTCCCAATCCCTCACAAAGCATGCTCGCACATTCCTTTCTTTCCCTTTCTGCCTCTCTAATTGCCGAGGACTGAAAAGAGGGATGAAGAGAAGGGAATGAGATTGAGAGAAAGAGGCAGAGAGGGAGAATCAGAGGGAAAGGGGGCCATATCACAGGACCTCTACTGCCAGGACACACTGTACTGGCCTTTTAGTAGTCAAAACTTCAGTGTGCAGTGTGTATGGACTTACCCTTCCTATCCCCTCCCCGACCCCCTCCTCTAGCTGACTCCCAAATTAATTACACAGAA